AGAGAGAGAGAGAGGGGGGGGGGGGAGATAGAGACAACTGTCTCGATGTTGACGATTGTCTCTGTCTCTATCTCTGTCAGACAGAGACAAGAACTGGATTACAATTTTCCTATTTTCCATTTTAGTATAACGCGATCATCTGTCTACCTCTTTCCCTCGGCAATTCTTCCCATTTTATAGAATTCAGCTTCGGCTGGTAATCGCACTGTGCTCTGGAGCTCATGTTCCTTCCGACGGACCTCCTGCTCCTCGACTTCGATTTGTTTGCGCCTTTCCACAACTTCTATCTGTATCTCCTCGTTTCGAATTCGCTGCTTTATCTTTGCCGCCTGAAGCTCGTAAGCTAGCTGGGCTTCGGCTTTCTAAAGACGTAAATACGACTTATTGTTGCTTATTTATTGTTAGTTGAATACAATTAATATAATTTCTAACGCCAAGAGTGAGCTTACCGCTGTATTTACTTCTTGATCAAAATTGGCCTTCTGCAATTGGTAGAGTCTCGCGTTGTCCTCTATCTTGGTATCGGTATTATATTTGATATCCATCGCCGACTTTTCGCATTCTGCTTCCTGCCGTGGAACAAGGAGAAAAGTTTTAAGCGTAATGTATTAAAAATTGAACGCGCCATTTTCATGTATCACAAAGGTCACGTACCCTAATACCAGCATCTCGATTAGCCTCGGCGACGCCCACATCGGCGTCTCTTTTAACAGCGGCCGTCTGGGCTTTGCCGAGCGATGTCAAATATTGAACCTCGTCATAAACATCCTTTATCGTGAACGAGAGGATCTCGATGCCCATGCGACCGACGTCCGGCGCGGCGACTTCTCGCACGAGAGCCGCAAATTGATCTCGATCCTTGTAGACTTCCTCCACGGAGAGAGTTCCTGAGGGAAAATATATTTTCTCTCCAGTAATAACTCCACCGGGCATGTACTTAATACATCAACTCTAACAACGAGGTGGTCAACAATTAAATGAAAGGCTGAGAGCGACCAAACGTACCCAATATAGCTCGAAGATGACCCTCCAAGGTGGACAGGATCGTCGACTTGATCTCGTGAACGCTCTTTCCGAGAAACTGTTCACTGGCAGTGTGCAACAATTCGTCCGCCTTCATGATTTTGCACTGTGCTACTCCGGTGACCGTTAGCGGTACTCCTTGCGCCGTCTCCACGCTTTCGCACACCGGGTTCAGAGTCATCACCTCCAGCGACAACCGTTGTACGTCGGTGACGAACCACCAGGTGAACGCGTACCCGCCGACGATGGTTCTCTTTCTCATCGAGCCGCAGCATCCTCCTGCGGAGCGCAAAGTTGTTTTCCAATTAAATTTATATCTTTCTTTATTATAAAATCCCTCTCGCGTTTATACTTTTCATCGAGAGGAGAAAGAAATATCCAGATAGCGCAAGACACTTCTATGAACATTTCAAGAATATTTTTCAAGAATATGTGGAACATTCCATAGGTCATTCTTATACAGGGTGAGGAAAAGTACCGGACCGGTGAAATATCTCGAAAAATATGGAAGATACAGAAAAGTCTTTCAGACAAAAGTTGTACGGTTTTAAAAGGGCTATATAATGGTAAAATAAATTTTCGAAAAAAATAAATTTTTTATGGTTATATGGAGGTCGCCGTCATTTTTTTAAATGGAACCCCCTATTGTTTATTACACTACCTTATTTTACTAATTAATATGAACAACTTTTGTCTGAAACATTTTTTGATTTGCCCAATACTTTTTGAGATATTCGAGCGAAAATTTATAACTTTTTCAATGTTTAGTTTATAATATCTCGATAACTGTTTGTCGGAGGGAAAAGTAGTACAGGACTGTTTTACTTGATTTAGTCTCAGGAATATGCTGTTGCAATGGTGTTCCAATTAGGGAAAAATTTTGTGCATGCAAATTTTATGTGTTACAATACATATACCATTGCAACAGCATATTCCTGAGACTAAATCAAGTAAAAAAGTCCTGTACTACTTTTCCCTCCGACAAACAGTTATCGAGAGATTATAAGCTAAACATGTAAAAAGTTATAAATTTTCTCTTGAATATCTCAAAAAGTATTAGGCAAATAAAAAAAGGTTTCAGATAAAAGTTGTTCATATTAATTAGTAGAATAAGATAGTATAATAAACAATAGGGATTTTCATTTAAAAAAATGACGACGCCCTCCATATAACCATAAAAAATTTATTTTTTTCGAAAATTTATTTTACCATTATATAACCCTTTTAAAACCGTACAACTTTTGTCTGAAACATTTTTCTGTATCTCCAATATTTGTCGAGATATTTCACCGGTCCTGTACTTTTTCCTCACCCTGTATATTGCTTCCTTATAGGGGAAGCTTTGTTTTCGTGAAAAAATTTTTTTTCCAGTTCTTTTGGGAATATGTTTAAAATGTTTTAAAACGTCCAAAAATAACATTTTTACAAAATGTCCGTATGTGTGTGTGTGTGTGTGTGTGTGTGTGTACGGATTTGAATGTCCGTGGTTGCTCTAACTTCCGTAAATTTTGAGATATCGGGCCTCAGTTTCTTTTTAAATGTAGAGAATCACTAAAGGAAGGTTGGTAGTGAGTTTGGCGATGATCGGTAAATGGGTTTCTTTTTAAAAAAATCTTGAATTTTTTGAGAAATGTCTGTAGTTGCTCTAACTTTCGCAAATTTTGAGATTTCGGGCTATTTCTAATTCTATTATAAGTCTAATTCTATTCTATTATCTATTATATTGAAATTTCACGGAATCCGTACATGCACACTTTTTTATTATACTGGGTGTTTCAAAAGTGATGCTACAAAATGTAATGGTGAAATGTACACACTAGTATAAGCAAAAAGTCTCAAATTTCTAATTTGCACACTTTCAAGAAACATCGAAAAAAAATTAGATTTTGCTAGTAAAGTTTCCTCTATGAGGCCATGTGCAAATTTCTAATTTGCACACTTTTTTTATTTTTTTTTACTAATATCTTACTGTCATAATGGAACGGGCCAAACAATTTATCTCATGTTCGTAGAATATTCGACTGGCACTACTATAAATCTTTTTCGAATGTGAATAGAATAATCTATCGAATATAGCGTGTCGGTTATACATGATATGATCCCAGGTTTCACTGCCTTTTGCATGAGATAAGTGTATTACACAATAAACAATGTGCAATACATAAACTCGATGAATATTAAAAAATTATTCTGAATTTGAATATACGATATACACGTTAAAAATATACGATTTCTAATTGTAATAATCTATATATATTTATAGAATATTCAATTGAAATATTCTGAAAAAAAGAATATTTGCAATCCAGAAGAATATTCATAGAACTACGTGTGCTATCTGGGTATTGCTACCTAGACTGAAATAAATGAACCTTGCGCAACCAGTTAGGGTTGATTCTCCACAAGTATATTATTACGAAAGTTATTAAGCGAGAGATGACCGCATTATTGATCGCGGTAAATATAATAATTACAATTGTAAAAGAGAAGGGGAGAGGAAGAGGGTGTGAACGCGCGCGCGTGTGTTAAATTCAGGTTAAAAAAAGACTTACTTTCTAGGATACGCGTCGCCACGATATCATCGATTAGCTTGTAATTCCAAACGAGCGTTAAACGCACGCCTAGTCTCACAACAACAAGTAGGTCAATCCTGATGGCGAACGGAGTAATTCTTTACCCGCTAAACTCTCAGGGCATAATTACAGAGTAGAATTTGAAAATATCTGAAATACGCGATTCTTCTCTACATCTAATGTAATATCAACGTGCGAACGATGACGATAAAGATTATTCTCACATGTCATTGTACGCCATCGGAATTAATTCATTTCAATTCGAATATTTCCTTGATAAGAGTAGGGTCCGACCAATGAAAAAATCTTTATCACCAGCACAATATGTGGTATTTACAATCCAAAAGTGCAAGATATGTACCTTCGAGAAAATGTAACTTTCAATCTTTCCACGATCTTTCCGCATTACATTTATGTCAACTACGTTTACACGAATGTCTCAGCTGAGGCTACCCAGAGAACATTATGACGTCTAAAAGACGTCTTAAAGACGTCTTATGAAGTTGTCAGAAAGACGTCTTATGTCCCGACCCAGATAGCACATGGACGTCCATAGGATGTCCAAAATGCTCTACTTTGGACATCCCTAGGACGTCCGAAATACATCCAACTTTGGATCTATTTTGGATTTGTTTTGGACTTATAACGGACGTGTTTTTGATAATTAATTGTGTACCTATATTTTGGATAGGATTTTTAATAATTAAATATTAATTAAACAATTTATTTCATTATATTTATATTTTGTCATACTTAGTATATTGTATATTTATATTAAATATATATATATTTAGGTTATATATTTATCTCTGTTATATTATATTAATAATATATTATATTAATAGTGGTGTCTAGCAAAATCGAGTTCTATGTTTCTCTGACTTTTCCAGGTTTTCTAGACTTTTTCTAGCATTTTTATTTTTAGTAGTTTTCAACAGGGTAGATTTACAAAAATCAGTAGAAAATGACAGTTTAATTTGTTAAATTGATCTAAAAAAAGTAAATTGTTACTTATTGTTAATCTTTGTAATTGTTAAAACATATACTCCCCGTTTATAAATATTTAGTTGTTTTTTATTTAAAAAATTTTTATAGACGAGTACAATTTATATGCCAATATACAATTTTTTATTCACAATCAAAGAAAGAGGAAAGGAGAAAGAGCAAGAAAACAACGATATTTAGAGAGAGAGAGAGAAAGAGAGAGAGAGAACATAACTTTTTAAAATTATATTTTACATTTCATTCATATTATTTAATATTGATTTTACATTGTCCATGTTTATTGTTTCCTATGGTTTTAGTGTACAACAAATATTTAACTATTAAATGTAAAAAACTGTTTTATTCATTAACGTGTTTTATTATAATATTAATATAGTAATTAATATAAAATAAATGTGAAACAACCATGGATGTCCATTAAATGTCCATTTCACGTTCACGGACGTCCGGACGTAAATTGGACTTAAACTGGAAGTCCATAGGACATCCAGTGCTATCTGGGTCGACTTTCGACGTCTTTTAGACTTGTCTTAAAGACATCTTTAAGACGTCTTGAAAACAAATCCAAAAGACGTCCTCGAGACATGTATTATAGACATATCGACTGATCTCTTTCGCAAGGTCGTATATTACGCAATTTCTGGTTTTGTACTTAGGCCGCGGTCAAGCGGACATCGAAGAGTTATTTCCTCTTCTATCGAAATGAGAACTAAGCTTCTCTTGGAAGCCGCGATTACTACTTTCAGGTGTAGTATGCTGAGGAATTACGATTATTTTTCTAAAATTCTGCCGTCGATAGACCTCCTTATATCATATACTTCAACGATTTTTAAATGCCAGTTACTTTTAAAAATTGTCTCCTCCTAGCGGATTAATTTATGAATCTTTTGTGTTGCTAAGCAACTACTTGAAAGTAATCGATACTCTAAGCTGTCAGTAATGTGCAGTTCTGGTTATGGGTGGCTGTCACAACTGCCACAATCGTTATACACTACATATTGCACTACAAATCTCATTATTCTAATTTTACAAACTTTTCTATTTTTAAAATACTTTCAAACATCTTATGTCACTAAGCAATATGTCACTGATGCTTTAACAAATGTATTAATTCGAACTTTAAAGGTTATATAAACACTACTTGACATATAATCAATGTTTTATATTTTTATAAAGACGTCATAAAGACGTTTTTTTTCTGACGTCTTATAGACGTCTTTTAGGAAAGTCTTAAAGATGTCTCTTTTAAGACGCCTTTAAGACGTCGTTTAGACATGCATGTTGTCTGGGTACGGTTTTCTAAGGTGAACAGGGAACAATAATGGAGAACGGGATCAAAACGCGAGAAGGGAGATGACCGGCATACCGGCATGAAACGAACGAGGAGGGAAATGAAAAGAGAAAGAGAGAAGGGAAATCGATGACCGTTATACGCCGCGTCTACGGGACTGAAGAGCCCGGAAACCGTAGCCGATCGTACATTATCCTCAATGAGACATCCACACCTGACTACGTGCACGTAGTCGCGAGTCGAACCAGTCGAGCTGTAGCTGTAGCAAGATCATGGTCAGTATCACTCTACTCTTTCTCCAGTAACATCATTTCGATCATCGTCCCGTTTTCGCCTTTACCGCGATCGATCACAAGATTTCGTACTCATCGACCAAGAAACGGAAGAGCCCCGTGTTTTTCACTCGTTCAAGTTCTTTGCTGCGAATGTGTT